AACATATTTTTTGTTACCTAAAATATACTATTGATATGGAAATGTTTTATTCTCAAAAGTCAGGATTTGCTTTAGTGGAATATGCAGATGCATGTTATCTCTCCGATCCACATAAAGCTAAATCACAAACAGGATATGTGTTTACACGTGGAGGAACAGCTATATCATGGAGATATGTGAAGTAATCCTTGATAGTAACATCCTCAAATCATTCTGAGATTATTGCAATCATGAAGTAGGACGAGAATGTGTATGGTTGAGGAATATGACTCATCATATCCAATCATCATGTGGATTGACTTCAACAAAAGATAGTCCAATAATTTTATTTGAAGATAATGCAGCTTGTATCGCACAATTTAAGGGAGGCTATATCAAAGACGCCAGGACGAAATATATTTCTCCAAAATTCTTTCATACACGTGAACTTCAGAAAAATTATGACATTGATATTCAAGAAATTCGCTCAAGTGACAATGTGACTGATCTATTCACAAAAGCGCTGCCAACATCTACATTCAAGAAATTAGTTCATGAGATTGGAATGCGTCGACTCAAAGATTTTCAGTGATCAACATCAGGGGAGTAGTTCCTTCGCTTAGGTTTTGTCCCATTGGATTTTCCTAACAAGGTTTTAATGAGGCAGCATTTAATTTTAAAACTCCAAAATAACTGTACTATTTTTCCTTAGTTTGATTTTTTTCCCATTGAATTTTTATCAAACAATATTTTAACGAGACAGATATTTTGTAATATGTCATTCAAGGGGGAGTGTTGTAAATGGAAATTCCATTAAAATTTATTGGTGAATGACATTTAAACCCGTGTAGCCCTAAAAATTATTATCATTATATCCCTAATTTTTACATATAAATATAGGACTTTAATTTTCAATAATATACAAAAAAAACATTTATTGAGTTTTGTCAATTCTCTTTTATTTTCTCTATCTTCCTCTTCTCATTTTATAACATCTACCTTTGTAATATGTCATTCAAGGGGGAGTGTTGTAAATGGAAATTCCATTAAAATTTATTGGTGAATGACATTTAAACCCGTGTAGTCCTAAAAATTATTATCATTATATCCCTAATTTTTACATATAAATATAGGACTTTAATTTTCAATAATATACAAAAAAAAACATTTATTGAGTTTTGTCAATTCTCTTTTATTTTCTCTATCTTCCTCTTCTCATTTTATAACATCTACTTCTTTTTATAGCTTTTTCATAATATTTTTTTTTTCCCAAAAAAAGTGAAATTTCAAAGAAAAATCGCTCCCCAGCTGTTTCTACTTCGAGAACTGAATCGGCGGCCGATGACGGAGCCCGCAACGTCACACCCTGCTTACGGGACAGAGATGAATGGAGAACACGAGGAAAAAACTGAAGCACAAAATTCTCCATCTAATTCGCAGCAAACAGGTGAAATTGATGATCCTAAATAACCCTTTTTTTGATATCTTTGCTGTTATTGTTATCATTCGTACGTTAATTCCACCAAATTTGCTTCAGAAACTTTTATGCTAATGGCACACTAATCACCAACAGTTACAGGCGTAGGGCTCAAGCAGCACGTTTGGCTAACTTAAAAGTTTTCTTATAAGTAAAAGAGGGAGTTTGAAAAGAAATAATTTTTTTAATTTATGGAACTTGAAATAAGTAGCTTAAAAGCCAAAAAAATGCCTCTTTTGAGCTCTTTTTGGGAGACGGTTGTTTTTGTAAAGTAAGAAAAGAATAGAGTTGCTTACAAGTAATTTACTATTTTTATGGCTTAGCTAAACATTCACATATAATTTTCTGACTACTGATTTTAGTTTCTTGTTGCTGCAGCGGCAACTAATTTCTTCCTTTTTTCATATTGTTGTATTTCTGACAACAATCAAATAGTTTATAGTAGTAGTTCTGATTTTTGGCCGTTTGTGGTGATTTTTTAGTTTCTGATGATGATGAAATAGACTACTCTATCAAACCTGAATTTTATGATCCCAAACTTGATGACAAGGATGAATTATGGGCCCAAAAGAAAAGAAAAGGCCACATTTCTGATGCTGTGCTCAGCTGCCCGGCTTGCTTTACTACCCTTTGTCTAGATTGCCAAAGGTATGCTGATATCCCGCATATACATCTTTATCCATGTATCAGATTTTGTTGTAAAGTACTGCGTGAATTTGTCTTTCCCTTTTAATTGCTAGAGCAACCACTATGATCTTTCTTTTGATTTTATATATGGTACCGAGTTCAACTTTCAAGTTCTTAATACGAAGAAGAAAATGTGGTTTGCTTATTCGAATACATGGATTTTATCATTCAATAGTTCACGATTTAAGTCCAAGCGCTATGTAGTCTTCTAAGTAGATTGTTAAAGTTCAATAATCTTCCTTGTGAAGTGTTGCAACAAGTCTTAAATGATTATTCTTATAGCACATGATTTCAGTTCTTCGAGAATGATTTAAGAACTCCCTATATTAGGTTTTAGTCTACCATTATGTTCAGAGGGATGTCCTAGGTTATGATAGTGTAGATTCCACACCTTGTCCCCTGCAAAGAAAAAACCTTCATGGAACTAATCATCATCAGCAGTATAGAGCTATTGCTGATAGCTATCATCGGCAGGGGATGTTTGCCAGATAAATCTGCCTCCTTTTATCACCAGAGACGCTCAATAACAGAAGTTCTATTTCCATTCAGTTTAATTTTGCATCCAACAAAATTGTCAACTACTCTTATTTTCAATGAGATGGCAGGGATATTTAGTATCCAAGAGATATGGACATGCACGAGATTCTAAAACTGCAGTTGTAATACTGATTGATTCTATATTGAAATGCTCTTGATAGTTGATATACACTAGTTCCTAGTCAAGAACTACCCTAGGAAGGTTTCTGCTGTGGTAGAAGCAGACCACAAATAAGTTAGGGAAGGGAAAAATCAAGTGAAAAAAGCTCTATGTACAGGGACCTGCTCAAATCAAATACTGCATCCATATATTAGCACTCTATATGGTGTTTTCAAACCGTTTAAACTTCACAAACAAGTCCAGATGACTACATGGCTTGTGAGCTTAGAAACAAATGATCTGAGATTCTACATTCCACATTTCACTGCAGATCACTAGATTTTGTCGGCATCATATTCAAATCCTCTCTCAGCAGCAAGCATGTACTTGAAGAAGAAATGGCTTGGGATGCTGTGAAATTTACGTAGAGATCTTGACTGTTAATTCATAAATGTTGAATAAGAAGGTTTATGCATACTCATATCCTTTCACCGGGTCTAGTTCAGATTAGATATTAAGATGTGGATGATTCCTTAAATAAAAGATGTTAATAGTTCTGTCAAAGCAGCGTGATCTATATATGTTTCATTCTCTAAATTTATTTAAATAATTGGAGATTTTCGGTTGCGCTTGAGATTCCCAATTGCATGATATATCCATATTTGGCCGCTGGTGACAGAAATCCTATCTATTTTGGGGTCCACAGTAGCTACATTTGCATTCTGTTGATTTGGAAGGCCCTCATCCAACAGCTGAATTCAGAATGAACTCTTCATTTATGTGCTGAGTAGTCTGCAAAACAAGCCGGTCCATGCATCGCTGGTTTTCTAGAGAAAACTGGGGATTCTGGAAGTTAGTTTCTACTTGTGCTGGCTGAAACCAACTAGATCCACATTAAAATATTAGTACCGCCACTACAATATTCGGTATAGTTCTTTTCCTTAGTCTGGACGACCTGAACTCAAGCAAATTACTTTGTGGTGATGGACTGACGTCTTCCTCCTTGAAGTAACTTGGATGAACATATGTTGCCAAGTAAAGATGCATCTTGGCCCAGTTCTTTTATTTATTTATTTTTTAGCAATATACATCTGAGCAACATTACGGAAATATATAATATGACTTTCTGAATCATACTTCCTTCTTTTCTTAGTTCTTGCCAGCACAATCCTTGCTCACAAAATAGTAAACATGATTAAACCACAATCCTGATCTTTCCCAATTTTCTTGCAGGCATGAAAAATATGTGACCCAGTACCGCGCAATTTTTGTAGTGAACTGCAAGATTACAAGTGAGAAATTGTCAGAACCAGGTAATAAGCGAAAACGGAACAAAAGAGGGTCTCAGAAAGAAACTGGTTCTGTTGCTGCTGAAACATTTAAACGGGTTTGCTGTTCAGTCTGTTCAACAGACGTGGGAGTAATCGACGAGGAGGAAGTTTATCATTTCTTGAATGTTCTTCCAAGTGAGGCTTGATTAATTTTTTCAGTTGAATCACTGTCCTATGAACCTTATTTTCGTATGCCTTTCAATAAGAATTTTAGTTATTTTGGAGGGAAGGCTGTGTTGAACTGTACTTGCACAATGGTATGCAGTATTAGATAACATTATGACCAAAACGTGTCACTCGACAAATTAATAACTAGTTTATAAAGATGAATGCTAGTCTCCAATGGAACGCGTGAATAATAATGGCAGTAGTTATGAATTTGTCGTCGAAATTAATGAAAAACTTCACAACACCTTATAAATTTAAACATGGTTAAATGATGAATTCAAAATGACAAGCTTGCTTCGATTTTGTTTTCATGTTTAGATGTGAATTTAATTAAAATTTATTTGACATCAACATGATTCGTCTCACTTGTATAATTGTACAAAGAACAATATCCTGCCGAAAATTAAGATTATTATTTTTTCTTCCTGGAGAACGTTCCACTCTTCTCTGCCTACTCTTACAAACTTGGTATGTAGGAAGGTCATCTTTCAGTGGACAATGCAATAAATGTGATATTGTTGAATTGAATTTGCACATATTCTCCCAAATGCCACTTTAGCAGAGAACTTTGGATTTTAAACTAAGATCAATGAAGTACTTGACACTCAGCACAATAGGCTTTCGGATTGTCAAAATACATACTTAAAACTACTAAATATAACTTAATTTCATGTCTCAAAACCAATTTTCTAATCATAAAGGTGGAATTCTTCTAAGATCCATTGCTCAATTTTGCTGCATGCTTTGCTTTTAAAATGTAGAGTAGACTTAACATAACATATTCGATTTGGTTGGTCCGGAAAGTCATGGGAGAGGCAAGCTAAATGAAGTAATGTACTATAAAGTCTTATGAAAAAGCGTGGAATAAAATCCAGACTCAAGTAAATAAAATAAAACAAAATAAGACAAGAAAAATAAAACATATGCCCCCATGCAGGATCGAACTACAGACCTCCAGTTTACAAGACTGGCGCTCTACCACTGAGCTATAGGGGCATTTGATGATTGTTGTCTTATTTAAAAATATATCTATATAAATATTAAGAAAAAAATCACTCTATTTCACTGAAGCTCTGCCAAACAGAGCCCTGCGTAGTGCAGCAGCAGTAATTGAGGGAGGATGGCATCGAGAGGAGCAGGAGTAGGGTTAGAGATGGAGAAGATGAGTTTGGAGCAGCTTAGAGCCCTAAAAGAGCAAGCCGATCTCGAATTCAACCTCTTTCAGGACAGCCTCAACAACATTCGCACTGCCACGGCCCGCCTCGAAATCGCCTCCACAGCCCTCCACGACCTCTCCCTCCGCCCCCAAGGTATTACTATTGTTATTCTTGTATACAAAAAATAAATATTAAAAGCTTCCGTATGCACGCGTATTATAGTTTTATTAAATATTTGTATTTGAAAATTTTGGGGTTAAGGGAAGAAAATGCTGGTACCTTTGACGGCGTCGCTTTATGTTCCTGGATCGCTGGATGATGCTGATAAGGTGTTGGTGGATGTAGGCACTGGTTACTTTATAGAGGTTAGTCCTAAATTTCTGTACAATGCTTGGAAATTTGGGAGTTTATTCAATGTAATGCGTGGAAAATTTGGGAGTTTATTCACTGTCATACTAGTTTTCGTGATAAATGTATCTTCTGTTTGTATATCTAGTTTCAAAGTTTTATCTGTTGTATCTTGTAAGTCATGTATTAAATTAGATGTTCTTGGTAGTCTAGGGTGAAATAGTTTTTCTCCTACACAAAACTATTCTTAAAATATTTTATGGTGGTACAGAGATTATATTTCAAAATTTTGTTAATTAAAGATTTCTATACCGGTGCCTAGTATTGCTTTTGTAATTTGAGAAAAGGAAAACGAAAATGCAAGAAAGGAAAAAAAAAAAAATAAAAAAAAATCTGATTTAATTTATTACTTGCTTTCAGATATCATTCAAGATGAAGATAAATTGTCGTTTGTTGGCTCCTCCACTGAAAGTTGTTTGGTGATTAGGTGGGTTGTGGATGCTAATGAATATGTCAACCACAAACTATGTAGTGATACATTAAAACCAATGTCACTAGGTCCTTACTCAGCGTTAATAGCTGAAATTTTTTACAGAGGTATCAATCTCATATCAACAATGCTGAATGAACTATTTGACATTTTGGTTCTTATTTCTTATTTGATATTTTGTTGGACCCAGTTTTCTCCCATTATTTCTCTTCTTATTCAAAAACTCACATCTGAAGCTATTGGAATGGCAATGCTTGTAAATTAGTAAATGCTAGAATTGAGCACTAATGCGTTCATAATCCTATTACCATCTGATAAATGGCTTCCTTGAGTAGAATTTCTGATAACCGCCTCCTTGAGTTGCAAGAATTTGATTCAAGAACATCTTCAAGTTCTTCTCATACGCTGGGTGTTAGGCAGCCCTTCAGTTGCCCAACATCAAAGTTTATATTATTGTGACCTGGATATAATGTAAGATCATTATTATTGAAAACATTTATTAATCCCATTATCAGTTAGTAACAAAAGCACTGAAGCTTGGCTTCTTCAAAATCTTGCATGAACCTGCACTTCGTGGACAAAACCTCTTGCGATTGGAAAATTATTCAGGACTTAACCGAACTATCACTATGTCCATTCATCAAAGTCAGCAAAGTGCACTGTAACATGAAATTTATCCTGATAACTTATTAGTTATCCCACACACTTCTCCTTTTCCGACAATTTCCTCGTTGAGCTTAGTGAATGCTTCAGATTCTGATACTTGGTCAAGCATTGATATTATAAAGCAAGCAAGTCNTCCGACAATTTCCTCGTTGAGCTTAGTGAATGCTTCAGATTCTGATACTTGGTCAAGCATTGATATTATAAAGCAAGCAAGTCAATTGGTTTTCTTGGTTGGAACCCTTCTTTGAAGCATGAATTCGGTGCTGTCATATAAAACTAAAAGTCTTGGATTTTCAAATCAATTGAGTATTATTTTTCCACGCAAAACCACGCATGGAATCAGCTCTTTCCTTAAGTGTCTCATACTCATTCTCAAGCTTCAGGCCTTAAGAATGGGAGAGCTTGATACATATGGTTTTGTGGCTCATATAGAACAAAACACAGGTTTTCTCCGCTCCGACATCGGCCTTGCGTGGGTTTAATTCGTTGTTTGGTTGTTAGGGACGCTGAATGGGTTGGGGGTGGAATTCTAATGATTTAACATCAATCTCCTTGAATCTGTTTGATTTTCTCAAAATCCTGCATGGTTATTCTCTTCAGACTGATCCACTACTGCGATAGCCTAGACTTTGAGCCTAAAGTCTGTTGTTTTTGTCTGAGACTTCAAATCTCTGAGTTTGAATGGTTTCTCTTGAGGTTTGTTAGAGTGTTGTTGGGAGGGGATTGGATGAAGGAGATTGAGAAGTTTTCTCAACTATGAATGATCAACCGTTGTGCATGTAGCTTATATAGAGTGGAACACAGGTCCTTGATTAAATGGGCCGATGCCGGTACGGAGTGGAGTGGAGCGACAACATTGACCTTGCCTGTGTTTAATTCACTATCTGGTTGTTAGGGACGTTGAATGTGTTGGGGGTGCGGGGGCAACACCCCCGCAGTAAGGTACAGGGGTATTTCCCATACAGGTCTTTAAGTCTTATATAGGTCCAGGCTAGGGTTAGTATAATTAATATGTTGTAACCCTATTTCTCACTGTTGAATAAAGATATCCCCGCTTCGCTTTCGTGGATGTAGGCACACCGTCGAACCATGTAAAATTCTTGTGTTGATTTACTTTTTCATCTTTTTAATATTGCGCATAAAATCCAACATCAACTGAGTCACAAATTCCATTTTCATACGTCTCATTCTGAAAAATATCTGATTCTTTAATATTCACGTTTTTCATACTATTTTGTTTTGCTGTCAAGTTTGTGCATGATTATTGCTTAAGTTTTAGCCAGTAGGATGACCCAAGTTTTGGAGCAATACTTAATTGTTAATTGATTTTATTATTATTATTATTATTATTATTATTATTATTATTATTATTATTTATTTATTTTTTTTTTTGGATGAAGTTGATAAAATGTATGGTAGAAAAATTGATAAAAGTAGCGGGTTTTATGAAATGTGTGGTTAAAATTAATTGTTGACTTTAAATTAGATTTTATCAATTTTTTAAGCTACAGGCTTAATTTATTTCTCTTGTGATCCATTTTCTACCCAGTTCCATTTCGAAATTATGTGTCCATTGCAAGATTAAGGTGTTTGATTGGCTGGCTGGTCTCATATTGAACACGTAGGAAATGCCCATGTTGCTTTCTCTCAGCATGGCGCTCAATGTGCATTGTGATTTTGCAAGCTAGTCATGAGTAGGTTATCACTTATCATAAGAAACTGTTTTCCTTGGGTATTCCTCCAGGGCATAGTGGTTTTCACTTGAAAGGACATACTGGTTCGGTTTTGGGTAAGATAATATTGTCGACTTTTGGTGTAATATGGAAGTAAAGAAATTGCATTATTTTGAACAAAAAGCACAAGATATTTTTTAGTTGAGAATGGACGGGGACTAGTTTTTAGCGTCTGTACGGGCATCTACATCAAAGTAGTTTATTGTTCTCCTTTTCTTTAATTGTTATTTTTTGGAAAGGTGTGATTTTTCTTGATTTCTTTATTTTTATGGATGGAGGATATCTTGTCCTCTTGATAGCTGTGAAGTTATTCTTTGATTAATAAATATATTGTTTCCTATCGAAGCAATATAGAGAGAGAATATAGGTTTTATTTATTTAAGCCTCAATTCTGCCTAGGTCACCTAAACCAATGATCTGAATATTGGCTCCGATCTTGTGAGTTCAAACAGGCCAACATTAGGGAAAGTTTCATTTCTTATTGTTGGGCCTAAAGCCTGCTGAGATGCTAGTAACGAAGAGGTATTTAGGTGTGTTATCGTATATAAACCTTTTATTCCTTCTCGCAAGATCAATAATAAATCAAATATATTCAGAAACAAACAAAGCAATCACGCATTTATTGTGGTCAACTGGAACCTGATAGCTACTATGTTCACCTGGCACCAGGTTTCACTGCAAAATAGAGGAGCAGCACAAGTTTTCTCACTGCTGTCACACAATCGATCCCATGAAAAGTTCTTTATATTGTAGGAATATTAGTGTGACCTGATCTACAGCTGAGAGCACAATTGTATAACATGATTAGGCTCTGCATACCAATGGGAAATATAGGTAAAATAAGTTGTTCTGATGTAACAAGTACTTGAAGACAAAATGGACATTATTTCACTGCTTTCTTGAACATGGCACTCTCTTTGAATTGGAGGTTATGGTCTATTTTTCTTCTATTTTTTAAGATCTTAAGTCCTAACAGTCTTTGCATTGTTTTTGTTTGAGCAGAAAACAATGGTGGAAGGAAAAGAGTACTGTGAGCGAAAGATTAACTTGCTCAAGTCTAATTATGATCAACTTCTTGAGGTACGTTTTTGTAGTATATTTTGTTTCCTTTTGAAACGTTCCGTTCTATCTTTAAACCACGAGGTTTTACACTTTCCCTGACCATTGTCCTCATGAACTTTTGATGTTGCATTTCCCTTGGCTTTGGAGTTTAAAATCTTATCTGAATATAACCAATAGGAAACTTTTTCTGCTACCAAGGCAATGTCCTTGTAGGATTAAATTCAAATATCAAATACCTTTGCAGTTGAATTAAATTGAAGCAAGCAGGAGTCGGTTACTATAATAAAATTTCATTTTCAGTTCACTTAATATTGCCAATAGGTACTTAGGAATTGTTTGGCAAAGCTTTTGTTTCTCGTAGAAGAGTTTCCAAAGTAAAGTTATTTTACGCTAATTTCTTTTAAAAGCTCTTCTTGCCCGGCAAAACACTTTTAGAAAATTATTCAAATAGATTCAAAAGCAACAGCTTAGTTTTAGATGCAATTTCGCTTCTCAAATGTCTTGCCAAATAGGTCCTTAATGCGCAATTTGAGAACAAAATTCTTGTATTCATTTCGTTTGAATAAACAATATTCTATCGAACATGTTCTTGTTTCACCCTCGATGTGTTCGTTCTGTAACTGGCCCTTCATTTTATGCAGGTTGCCACTAAGAAGAAAAGCATTGCAGATGAAACTGGGGCAATATTACAAGCGAAGTTGAAGCAAGTAGCTCCCATACAATAAGTATGTCTTCTTGTTGTAACATCCGATGGCATTTAAACCTTGAATCAACGTGTTTATCTTCAAAGGAGGAGAATAGTTGGAACTATAATTTTGCCTTTGTTGAAGAAGAAAGGATTACAAAAGAATGTATCTCACGAACTCATTGACTCTTTTTTTTTTTTTTTATCAATCCTTTCACTAACTAGAAAGCAGGCGTTTACACAACAATCATAAATATAAAAATTTGTAATTAAAGCAAATAAGATCTTAACTGACATAACAAGAAACTAAAGAGTCGAGAAAATAGACGCGATCAACCTTCTTTCAATATGCATCTAGACATTAAGGACACAATAACTAACTTGAAAAATAAAAATTGAGAAATATGCAAGGAGGGTGTGAGCCGAAATTGGTGGCGAGTAATTTTGAAAATTTTATAGTTCAGCTATCTTTAGGGGTTTTAAATGGAGGAAGTCGTGTTGTTCTACTTGTCTGTTGGGCTCGACTTGTTTAACAAAATGTGGGTTGATTTGTCCCATGAGCTCGTTAGCTTGCTCACAAGCTCGCTTACTCGAGTCGGCAAGCGGGCTTGTGTTTTCAGATCACTGCTTGACGTGAGCTGAATTATGAGTAGATGAACAACTCATCTCCTTGGTCCCCGTTTGAGCTCATTAATTTTCATTACATTATATTTTATTTTTCTTTCTTCTATTTTAAATTTCACAATCTTTCATAAAATAATATTACACGTAAATCGAAATTTTTCTTTTTTTTTCAACTACTCATTTTTTCAAAAAATATTATTTCATTCATTAATTTTTCCACGTAATAGGGGCCAAACAGGGGCTTAATATTTTTAGTGATTTTGACGGAAATATTATGTTGGAAGAGATGTTTAAGGACAAGTGAATATTTTTGTTATGGAAGTTGAAAATTATTTTAGTTTTGCCATTGTTGAAAATTGTTTCATCGCTATACATATGTAACACGTATATCTAAAAATCACTTTTATTTTCTGTAGTCCACATTACAACATTCTACGCCTGTCTGCCCTCACATCTCAACTATTCAAATGGAACCGCCACACGACCACCACCACCACCACCACCATCACCACCACCAAGAGCAATCAAACCTCTCACAACCACCCACAACCTGCGCCAACTGCGGTGGACCCACTTGTTTCCCCCCTCCGCCGAACATATCCGCCACCCCTTCTTACATCCCCATCCGCTTCCCAGCCGTCAACCTCCCCAATCCACCCACCAACACCAAAGAGGCCATCATCCGTACTCCGGTGCCACAGCCTCAGAAGGTGGACCTCCTTTCCCCTCCCTACCACTTCGCCACCCCTTCCAAGGTAATCCACTCCCAAGACGACATCGTTCGGTTCCATTCCTCTCCCGTTTTTCACAATTTTCTCGGATTCGTGGTTTCACTCTCTGAGTCGATCAAATCCCGCAAGCTTTCAGATCCCTGCCATGTTTCCTCCACCGTCGAAGTTATCATTTCCATTCTCCAGACTCTGAGTGATTATGTTGATGAAATCCCACCGGCCCCCCAATCCTCTCGGTATGGGAACGTTGCGTATCGCACGTGGCACGAGCGAATGAGCTCAGATGCTGAGTCCTTTATGCTGAAATTTCTACCGCCGGATCTTCACGGTGCCACTGTGGAACTCGTGCCTTATTTCACTGATAGCTTTGGCAACTCTAGCCGCATCGATTACGGTGCATATGCCTTTTTCTTTGTTACTTCTTGAATATATTTATTTTTTAATAAAGCACCGTCAAAGCCAGGCATGTTTATTATGATGCCTAATTTCACTTTTAGAAGATTCGCTAACGTATTGTTCATCCTGAATCCTTCTTCTGCGAAAGCTTTAACAGTGTGGCGTTATAGATTTTCCAAAAAAAAAAAATCACGTTTAAATGTAAAACATCAAATAAAACGAATGGGGATTCATGTTGTGCTGAAGACTACTTCCAAGACAAAATTCATGTGGTTTACACTGCGTAACCGTTCTTATACCATTGATATTGTCTGAATCTATCAGAGAATCACCATTCTAGATATAGGTCTTCAGTAATATATTTTTTCATTATTCTTGAATCACAATTACTTGATAGCTCTTGGACTTTAAGCACTTCTGTTTATCTAGAACTGGAACTAGAATCATGAATCATTCAAAGAATCAATTGACTCTTAGATGCCTTTTTTAATTAGAAACTATCATGTGTAAGGAAATCAATCTTCCCTCGAATCCTGTCTTCTTAAAAGGCGTATACATTACCATACTAAAACGTCTGTTTTCTTATTTGTTATGAGATTGTAAAATACCTTTGAGTAAATAAGACCATGTTGCTTGTCCAGCTAATCGACTATAGAGTAGGTAACTAAATTGACTTTGAAGTCTTTAAGGAAAAATAAAAAAATTTCTACGTGCAATGAAGTGGCCTAAGATGAATCACTTGAATAAAAAAAAACTTTCATTTCAGAACGAATAGCCAAGAATAATTAACCTTTAAAAATTAAATTTGGTTATTTTGCTTGTACTCGGAAGGGCAGTTTCCTGAAGGCAAAATTCCCTAAACTTGTAGATTCCATTCAGAATGCTTTTAGATTGTTTCTAGTTGACTGAATCTTGAGATATAATTTTGATTCAAAACGTTAGTGACTTGTCTTTGATCCTTAATTTACAGATTCAGATTCACCATGGGATAAATTTTTTACTTAGGACTTACAGAGGAATTAGAGGTCCTATCATCTCTAAATAATGAGGAAGAAGCAGGTTTTGAAACATCTCTTATATCCATCTTTATCTCTACACTCCATTTGAGATTGCCATCTTAGGAAAATATAGATTTCACAAGTGCTCAACTAATCACCTATCAATCTTCTGTATCAAAATTACGAATAAGTTGCATGCGTATGCTCAGATATGTGTATCTATGATATGACTTGTATTTGTTGGGAATAAAACATTTTTTGTTTTTTATTTCTTTGGTGCTGTTGATCACCAAATAAATAATGGCCTTGTGAATGTAGGTAGACTCTATACTATTCTTCATCTTGTTGCTCGTTGCAAAGGGTAACAATTTATTTTCTGCTTTTATTT